TAAATGGCTTGTAAATGGATAATAATAAAGGTAATGGTTTAGTTCTTATTTAAAATGATCATATATTTAATACCTGATTAGAATTTCAAAATAAATCGATTTTAAAATTTTTGTTCCCTTTTTTTTTTTTTTTGCTTATATTGTCGTTTCTTTGCTTTTTCTTTAAGTTCTTGCATATTTTTTCCTTGTTATTTGGTTATTTCACATAAAAATAAGCAAAAAACTAAAACATAATTTTAATGTCATGTCGATTTTTCTGCATTCTACTTGTTTAAAATATTTTGCATTCACCGTCTCAGAAAATTGCAATAAAATTAAAATTATAGCAACATAAAATTTAATTATGTAATCACTCAAGAATATTAATATTTATCCATTAGTTTGATAAATAATATTAATAAATTAAAATAATATAAATAAATGAAAAGAAATATAAATATTTCTTTACCTACCTCGTACATAATATGCATGACAATCCAATGTAATTCTCGAGACAGTAGAAACATTCATACCTACACATATGACATCTATATGGAAAATATTCGGGGTAATCAGAATTTAAATTTTAGAATTTATAATGAACCTGAAAAATTTTTGACATTATCTGGTGATAAATTACGGATCGATGAAATTGAATTCTAAAAATATATTTTTTATAACGGTATTATAAATGTTAAATATTTTTTTCATTAAAAAATAAAACAAGAGTTTACTAAAATTTGTGAAATAAATTAAATATATCTACATATATGTATATATATGCACACAATGTCAATATTATGTGCAGACGATTAAAATGTCAAACAGTAATGATAAAATTATTATTGATATTTAATTAAAATCGATTTTTGTGTTATGAATGCGATATTAAATCGTGTTTAGTGTTGTGTAGTGACATGCCTTATAAAGAAAGTTCTTGTTTTCAAATTAAACCTAAAATAAGGATTTTTTATTATAGGTGCATCAAAGTTTTTTTCAATTTTATACTAAATTGATTAAAACAGCAAGATAATAATTTACATAAAAGAAGAATTAAAGAAAATAATACTTTGAATTAATAAATAAAACTCAAATATTTTGCGGAAAGAATTCTAAGAAATCAAAAATTCAATCATTATTTTTGGAGATTTGTTTTCACAAAAGAAAATCAAGGTGGTGGGTTATCAGAGATAAATTACAAATGTATAAAGAAGCAATTTATTTGGTAATTTACGTGTAAGCGAACGAGATTTACAGGATTTTGTAAATCTAAAAAAATTCAAGAACAAAGATGAAGTATACTGCGAGTCATATTGGGATATCAAGATGATGAGGTTTGTATTCTTAGTAAAATCAAATTCTTTATTGTATTCTGATTAAAAATATTTTATTCAATAACTCTTTTTTTTTAGATTGATAATGTTATTGTTACTGCACCTGGCTTTTAAAGCAGACCACAAATATTTTTTTAATTGAAACTTATCACTTACCTTTAAATTAATTTTTTTCAAATGAAAAATGCGTGTATACATATTTAAATATTGTTTTAGAATAGGGTGAAGCGGTAATGTTGTCATAACTGCATCTTGCTATTAAGAATATGCAACAATTTATTATGTATTTTGCGAGGAGAATACTTTGAACTGAGAAGATTAGTTATTCTAAATAAAAGTATGTACACATATGAGGCGATGAACATTCTTTGTTTTGTAAATTCAAAATTTTCTGAGTTATTCGTAGCAATTTAGATTCTGCGTGACCTATAAAAATCGTAACAATACACTTAAACTACAACTTGATTTCCTCAATTTTACTTTTTATGCCAAAACACAAATAAATTAAATAAAAAATTTAAATAAATTTCTAAGATTGTTAAAGGCATTCTTTATTAAATTAATTTCCATAAAACTGAAAGGTTTTTTTCTTTGTAATTCGTCATTAAATTTAAGAAAATTTTTGAAAAATTTTATTTTAAATAAAATAATTAGTATTCTCTTAACGTAACTAAAAAATATCACTTTTGATTATTCTTAACCTATTTATTTTATTTTTGTACAGTAAACCAAACCAATTTCCGTGTTAAGTACATTTTGTTTTTTCCATAGCTCATGTTCGATGAAAATTTTCCTCACAAACAAAAAAAAATTTAGTTAATTATTTTCTAATGTTTTCAATTTGATCTACTCGTATATTATTATTGAAAAAAATTCGAGCGACATTTTATGCCCTTCATAAAAATCATTACGCACATTCATTAGAAAATAATAAAAAAAAAAAACTTTTAAAAATGGCAGAAAGAAATTGTCATAAAAATTGTAATAAAAGTTCACAATTATTCCAAAATTCTTATTTTTCTTTTTCTTCTTTGGTTTCTTAAAACTACCATGTTTGGTAAAAATGGTTTCATGCACACGTGTATAGCACGTAAACCTTATTAGAATATCAAAAGAAAAAATTTACTAGATAGATCCTAATTTAATTTTGGGTCAATATTATGCATAGATAAATTCATAATAGTGACTTAAAATAAATAAAAGTTACCATATGTGGTTAATAAATTAATAAGTTAACAATTATTTGACTTACTTTTGTAGGTAGTTATGAAAATTTGATTCTCTTTGGGATTTCATTTTTTGTCTCTGCCAATGTTAATTAAAATAAAAATAATAAAAGTTATTATTTCATTAATCATTCTCTAATTACAAGAAAACTGCCTAATTTGAACCGAATTCTCTTAGTTTAATGTTTAGTGCTGTCAAAATTTGATCAAAATTCCTTACTTAATTTCGATTTTGTAGGAACTTTTTACTTATTTTCGAGTATTGAAATCCATTAAAACTTCAATTTTGTTTTTCTGTTCTGTTCATTTGAAATCACAGATTTGTAAATAGTCCGGTTCCGGTTCACAAGAAAATTTACAGAAGAATACCCAATAGTTTGGTTTTTTATTTCAATTTCATGCACACAACAGCTGAGCACTTCAGAATTACTTATACTTATATTAATTTTGTGCAAAGTGCAAATGGTCACTTTAAAAAATATATAACTTTAAATAATTCAACATAATATTAAAATTTTAGTGGAAACGTGCTGTAATTTTTTAGTTTTATTAATAGAATTAAATTAGTCATGTTTCAATGCAATTGTAATGTACATACCAAATTTTGTTTTTCATTCTGATCAATTAGTTTTTCAGTTATTACCGCCTCAACTTTCTTTCGGTTTTAACTTTCGGTGCTATTTGAGAATAAGTATATTATACCAATAGGTATACCTACTTACCTAACCAATTAATATTAAAAAAGTTTTAAAGTAGCCTATTATGGTAATTAGTTTTTACATGCGTATGCATAATGAATTAATTCAAGTACATAATGAAATATAAAAAATATAAAACATTAAAAGAAATGCTTCTCCACTTCAAAAAAATTTGAAATCAAAATTTATTAATTTTTAAACAAGTTTAATATGGTACATAGTGTACCTAATTGTCTTTAAGTTCATTGAGGGCAATTCGAAACTGAGTGATCGCACCTATCTAGCTCTTGCGATCGTAAGATAAGTGAGATTCAATTAGTTTCGCAGTTTTCGTGTACCAGGAATTTCAAATTAAAAAATTTATGTATAATAAACTGTAATGCTTTTTTTTTATTATTTAACAATAATAATTTACAAAAGAAATTTATTTTAATTTTTAAATAATATTTAATTTTTTTTTAAATTAATACAAAAATTAATTTAATAAATAAATATTTAAATACTTTAATTTTATTCTAATTTCATACAGAATGTATTAGAAGTTTTAATTTCAAATCCATAATGTACAAATTAACATAAATAATTTATCAATGAAAAAATAAACATAAATATATAAATTAAATTTTGTTTTCAATTATAAATTAATTAAAATATATGCGATGTAATTTAAATATAGTAAATAAATAAATAAATAAATAAATAAATAAAAATTTAAATTTAACTTAAAATTTTAATTTATTTTTCAGCTACAAATAATAAACTTTCTGGAACAAAAGTCGATTTCTTCATTATTATTTTTTTTAGACCTTTTGATTTCTAAAGACTAGTTTCAATATTGGTTGTTGATTTTATATTATAAGAATTATAATTTAATCATTTCATAATAAAGAAAATAACTTTTGTTCTTTAATAATTAATTAAATTTGCTTTGTAAAGGAATTTTTTAATTTTTTTACATACACAGACACTAACATCCATTTTAAATTTGAATGAAATTTCAATATTATTCCAAAATATTTACTGATTTTAAAATCTTAGAACAAAATAATATTGTAACAATAAAAATAGAGGAACCGTAATCATGAAATTTGGTTTGATTGGCTAAATTATCAGTTAATAAATTTTCACTTTGTTAAAAATTAGAAAAATTGATTATCTCATTAATGAACGTACGACTTTAGCAAAGCACACAAAACCCGAATGGGCAATACAGCGGTTTTTGTATTCATATATCATGATTGTTTATTTCAAGCCCTTAAACGAATACCATAGTGTATATGCAATTGACATCCATTACGCTAAGTCGAATTGTAAAATGGTAAAATAACTGATGACATTCAATATTTCTGTTTGAGCTCAATTGTAATCTTCCAATTTTTTAAGCAAATTTAATTTTTTTAAACTATTCAATTACTTTAGTATATCTAGCCGGAATACAAATTGCATTTTACAAAATAATAATTTTATATTTTAATTTTTAACCTAATTAATTAAATTTTACCTAAAACAGAAAAGTAATTTTTAATTTTTTTGTACAATTTTGTTAATAAATTTAAAATTTGTTTATTTTTTTACTTTTAGAAGCTCTAAAATTTTTAATAACTTTCATTTAAATTTTTTTTTGGTTATATGCCACTATTTCAGTGATTTTTAATTTTTTTTTAATATTATTATAAAAATTTGTAAAATGTTGTTAATGTTAAAATTTTTAGCCTTCCAAAATTTAACCTTTATATTTTTAAACTACCGTAATAATAAAAAATATATAAATAATAATTATTTAATTAAAAATTAATATTTGTATATGTGTTTTTGTATATGTTTTGTGTAATATGTAATTGGTATGTTTGTATGTGTTGTCTTTGTTTTTTTGTTTTGAAACTGCATTTCGTTCCAATTTTTTTTTTTTTAATAATAACTTGGCAATTGACTTGAATATGCAAGATATGATGGATCGGAATTATATGCTCCAGCTGAAAAATGTTCAGCATTATTAGTATATACTGGACTGTTACCATAACTTGTGCTACTATTCTCTTCAGATGGTGGGAATGATTTTGCTTCACGTTTTTTTTCACCAAGTGAACGTTTCCAATATCCAGAATTTGATGATGGTCCGGTACCAGCTGTCCAATCATCGCCAGATGCAATATTACCATGATCTTCGTAATGATGCTGATGATGTGCATGTTCATAATAGATAACCTGCCATTAGAGAGATTTATTCTTTGAAATTAAAAAGAAATAGACAGCAGACCAAAGACACCATATAGTGTTGTGTATTGTATAAAATGTTTTTGTTTTGTGTGTGTGTGTGTAAGGATGTGTAAATATAAGAACATGTCATTATATAAGTTTATAATTGTTACGTTTCTTATGTTAGCTGTATTATGTTATATAATGTATTTGAAGTGTTTGTGTTTTTAATTTCTTTAGTTAATAAATGTCAGTTGTCATAATGTCAAACCAGTTAAAATAAAATAATAATAAAATTTTTGTTATTTAGAAAAATGAAAAATTGAAAATTAATAACAAGCAAAATCAAAAATTGAAACAAAAAATTAAACAACATGTAGATGAATTAAAGGTGATGCAGGGGGGGAAGAGACAATCTTAAAAATCTAATTATAGGGATGCTTGGTATATAAGATTTGATAACGACATGGTTTGCACTGCAAAAATTTGTTAAGGTATTCAATTCACTTATTATTTTAAGTTAAAAACAAACGAAACCATACTCCAGGGTATAAAAGGTGTTTGCGTTATAAAACCACTCCAGGATATTCAAATTGTACCAAAGGTAAAATCAAACAAAATAAATGCAAGTTTATAATATCAATTAAAAGAAATAAAAATTTTTTGATTTATACAAAAATGCAGAATAAAATATGCAATTGAGAATGGAATGAAATTGTAACAATAATAAAGCTATTCGCCCTATATTTATTAGGAAATTACTTTACATAATTACTCTATTTTATTTATTAAATTTTAATTTATTAAAGAGTTAGTAGAAACTATTATTGTTATCAAAAATATTCAAGTTACTCTAATTATTAAAGAAACTTTACATGAACCTTTTTTTAAAAGCATGTAAACACAAGTACCAAAGCAAGAAAATCAGGAATAATTCACTTTTAAAGAGTTGATAATTGAAGCTTACAAAAGGAATTACGTCAAGTGCTCATAAAAGAGCTGAGAAAATTTTGAATTAAAAGAACACAGAAATATACAGAAACTTATGTTGTTACACACAAATAAAAGCTGCAAATGATCTTTTTAATAAATTTTTAACAAAATTACTTTGAATGAGGCTGTTAATAACATAACAATAAAATTAAAATGATTCATACATGTCAGGAAATTAGTAAAATTTTTTCAAATTAAATTTATTTTAGAAAACATTTATGTATTATTTCTAACATAATGCGTTATAGGAACTTTAAGAATTCCATTATGTAGAAGAGCAGGTAAAATGAATGAACCAAAAATTGAATTATTTTCTTGAAATGCACTTTGTGTTAGACCAGTTGCAGATACAACATTCAATAATCTATCTTGAGCATTTTCAAGATTGTCAATTTTAATAAAATTATGATTGTCGAATTCAATGTAATCATCATCCTGTAAAATAAAATTTGTAATGCATTGAAATTTATTTTTAATTTTAATGGAGCCTCTTAAAAACATAAGCAAAACATATAAATTTAATCACAAATAAATTAATTATTCAGCAATAATAAATTGGTTAATTTATATTAAATGCTCATTTACAATAATGCTAGACTGCGAGATGAAACAGAATAATTACACTTGTAAAACTTTTGTAGCCGAATTTCCAACACCATGCGGCTTAATGTAGATTTTTAATAATAATAATATTTAAAAACAATATGTTTTTGGTCACGCTTGGTAGTTTGAAGGAGTTTTAAAAGAAAAGAAATAAGAATTGAAGAAAATGTTAATGTTAGGTTGCTAAAGCTAACCCCGTTTATATAATCTCATTAAATTTTATATGAAGAATTTCTTATCAAATAGTTTGCCCCCTAATATCATAATGTTTAACCGAATTTCTTTTAATAAAGCATAGTGGGAAAGGTAAACAATAAAATAATTTAAAAATTAGTTTTAATTTTGTTTTATAGACGATTATTAGTGCAAATTATTAATTAAAATAATTAAATAGATTGAAAGGTGTGGGAAAGGGTCAGAAAAATATTTTGTATATTTACAACAAGAAGTTTGAGAAATAGTGACAAAAAACACACATAATCGGAATTATAAATGAATTCAAAAGAGAATAATGTTCCGAAGACCTAGTTCCAAAATTTGTTTTAAAAGAAAAAAAAATGCAATTTGTTTCGAAATCATCCTATAAAAATAAAATTAAAAATCTATAATGACTTTTTAAAAATTATAGAATTTTTGTTAATTTAAGATTAAAACGCGATTAAATTTTCAAAAAAAAAAAAAATCATTTTCCAATCCAAAATTAAATACTTTTTTTTTTACAAAAAATTCGTGTAAACACTTAAATAAAAATAAACAAAAATAACATTTTTAGTTTCTTACAACATATTACACATAGGAAACTTATTAATTCATATAATAATTCAGTCATATATAACGTGCTGAAAATGGTGCAAATAATTAATAATTTTTTTTTAATAAAACATTTAAATTAGCAGTTAATTAATATTATTAAATTTTTATAATTAATATTAAATTTGTTTTTATAAAAAAGAGAAATATGTTGACAAACCAACATGTTTGAGATTAAAATATAAAGAAATTTTAAAAATAAAATTATTAACATTAATTTTAAATAATTGAAGACCAATTGTACATAATTTACATTAAAAAATTAATAAAAATTTATATTATATTTTTTTTTTAAATAAATGTACAATAAAATATAGAATTATTATTCAGGTGAGAGGGGGAACAGAGAAGTGAAAAACAAAATTAAAGAATTAGAGAACTATTTCTGAAAATTAAATCAATATTTTTTTTTTTTGTTTTATATAAAATTATTAAATAATATTCATACCTTTTGTGGTACACCACCTCTTCTAATATCAATCCAAAATCTAGCTATATTTATAATTAAACCAACTAATGCAATCGCAAAGAATTTAACTTGTAAATGAGCTGATAAAATTTTCAATAACAATTCAATTTTCCCTTTGATAATTGTTCCGATTAACATAAGTTTCATAAGAGCCTTCTTCTTCTTCTTTTTACCGCGACCCACTATATTTTTTTTTTTTATTTGTTTTTCATAAAATATGAAATATTTATTAAAAGAGAAAAGGATAAAATTGATTAGAAAATATAATTTTTTTTTAATTTTAAATAAATTTAATAAATTTTTTGAATTTTGATTTTATTGTGAATGTATTTTAGTTTATTTTATTTATTCCTTTTGTTTTTTTTTAAAGCGCATTGATTATTTATCAAAAATTAATTAAAATTCCAAATAATTCTAGATTGCAGAAATTCTAGTGTTTGTTATTACCAAACGAATAAATTACTTAGTCACGAGGTAAACGAATAAATCTAGATTTAAAATTAATTTTAAAATTTAGTCAAAACTTTCATCGAATGAACGGCAAAATCTTCATCATTGAAGAAAAGTACGAGTTCGAACACGAAATGAACAATGACGTGTATTGGTTTTAGCTGTCAGTTTTTCGTGTTTTCGAATTAAAACGAAAAAATTTTCATTTTAGAATTATTTGTCAATATTTGCACTTTTTTTTCGCAAAAACAAAAAGAAAAAAATTTTTATAAACTTAAATTGTGTAAAAATTTTGCATAAAAATAAAAAACAAAATATAAAAACAAAAAATTAAATATAAAACCAAACGTCAAAATAACGTCTTCGAAAATTTCAACACACAAACACTAAAGCCAATGTTATATCAATCCTTTTTTTTTTTTTTGCATTATAATTGAACTCTCCAATTATAAATTTTGTATAAATCTTCATAATTTTCTATAATTAAAATATTAAATAATATTAGTTTAAAAAAATACACACTGTTAAAGCTGTTAAAATGCCAAAAACAAATTTTTTTTAATGAAAAACATTTAAAGCCAAAATATGATCTAAATGAGAAAAAAAAAATTATTATTAAACAACGGTTGGTTTTCTAAAATTTAAAGTAAGAAAACAAAAATTAAAACAAAAAATAATTCGTGGTGAGTTTAAGTGCAGAAAAGCTTTGAAAGAAAGTTGAAATCGAATTTTTTTTTTTCAATATTATCTTAGCCACAAACCATTGAATTTTTTTTAGAAATCGAAAATTAAATTTAAAAGCTCAACTACAATTTACTTGAAATTTAAGTTTTTTGTTCAACTCTTCTAATTTTTTAATTTTTAACGAAAATGTGCTTTTGATGGTTGAAATTGGTTAAATAATTGTTCAAATATTTTTAACATAACGGATAAGAATTCAAGATGAGACAATTTTGAAAAACAGATTAAATTTACTTTTTTAAAGTATTCACTTCTTTAAATTTTTCAATATCATTATAAGTGATTTAGCTTAAAAATCGATAACGAAATGCGTTTTAATCCTGGAATACGAAAAATTATCAGAAAACGATAAGCACTTCAAAAAATCAGAGTGTGAATCAAAGACTACAAAATCACTTCGATTTTTCTTTGGTTCTGTAATTGTAACCAAAGCATTCTAATATCTGCACTTAATAAAAATCAAAAAAAAAAAAAATAAGAAAATTAAAATAAAATGAAAATTAAAATGTGTAGTGTAAAAATGAAAAAAGTGATTAATGCCAAAAAAGAAATATTAAATTAAAAAGCGCAAAATCCACACCGAACACACCTCCTATACTTCTACCATTATTAATAGAACTCAGCCCATGAGTATGCGGTATTCCGCTAACACCTGAATCCAGAAGATCCTCAAGAAAACTTAGTGCACTTGTGCCAATTTCACTATTTTGATGGAAAAAAGACATTAAACTGCCGCCATGACCACCACCTAATAATCCTCCATGTCCACCGAACGGTCGTTTCTTCTTCTTCTTCAATTTATGTCCAATTTTATGACCAATAAGATTACTAAGATGACCACCGCCATGACCGCCATGACCACCACCACCGTGACCACCTAAACTTATTCCATGTTGTGGTTTTTGTGACTGTACTAAAACTAAAGCTGGTTGAAGATGACTAATTTGTCCTTTTTTTTTTAATTCTTCGGCTTGTTTTTTTTGTATTTGATTTTTATTATCAGTTTTTGTTTTTGAATTTTTATTTATAACATTTTCTTCTACATCATCATCATCGTCATCATTTTCATCTTCATCATCGTCATCATCATCCTCTTCATCATCGTAATCATTTCTTTCACGACCCATCACACTACAAAGAAGGTTTATAAGAATTTTTCAAATTCTTTTTCTTGTTTCTATAAATGGGCTCAATTTACGTTTATAGGTTGGTTTACGACTTTTAATAGGTTGGTACTTACACATCTGCAGTTTGTTCAACAAAATTTTGGATAAAATTTGTTCCGATTTCTATTTTCTTCAATATTGTAGATGGTTTCTCTTTAACATCAGATGAACTAAATCCTCGTTGCAACAAAGTGGTGTTCAATTCACGATCAGCTTCAGCTATTTAAAAAAAAAATAATTAAAAAACTTCAAATTTTAAATCATATGAATATTTTGTATTTATTTGCTTTGTTAAGATGAGGCGTTAAAAATTCATGTAAGTGTTACCGTGTTTCTTTTCTTTTTAAAAAAGAAGTGTTCACACTTACTGTAATTAAATTTGGGTCAGAAACCATTTAAAGAAGCGTTTACATGTCAATTAAAGATTGACAATCATGATTGCAATTGATGAAGATTAATGAGAATTAACGTTTACATTGCAATTGATCTTTGTCAATCTTTCTAGATCCACTTTAAATTTCAGAACCTAAAAAACTACCATTATATTAACAAATAACAAATCCCAACAAAAAATGTTTAAAAACCTCCGAAATTTTGACAACGACGACTTAAATTTATCTTCAAGGCGTATATTTTGACAGCAAACAGATTCAAAACTGGAAAATAAAACAATTTTAAAGTGCTGCTTTAAAATTGTATCTTTATTTAATTCACCTACATGCGAATGAATTAAAGCGAATTTTTTTTTTAAGCTGCGGTTTAAGTTTTGAAGCTCGTCTTTGATTGTAGTTATGATTGTAGTTCGCTTTATGATTGTCAAAGTTAAATAGAATTTACTCACTATCTTGATATGAAAATGTTGATATTTTAAATAAAAACTATACTTTTTAAACACTAAAAATCACAAATATTAATTCATAAATGGATCGTGGAAGTTGGTTGGTTTGTTAATATTTTAATCTTTTCTCATTTTTCTTATTAAATTGAATTTATTAAACGAAATTATTAAGAAAATTATTTTATTGAATTTATAATGAGTGATGAATCTCTTTTTATTTTATTTTAACAACTAAGATATAAAATTTACAATAAAAAATGGAAATTTTTACCATAAATAGCGAAAATAATTATAATTTTCTCAGGAATTAAGAAATAAAAAGAAATATAGAAAAAATCTTTGCATTGAAAGGAAAAATCGCTATGCGGGAAAAATGCGCATCAAACAATTTTGACTTGTTAAAATTCATTAAAATCCAATATCATCTGCAGTTACCATATATTTTTCATGTTAAATAAATTAAATTAAATATTTTAAATATGTGCATATATATGTGTATATATATATTAACCATAAATGTGTACATTTTGTTATACCAGATGGTGTATAAAGGTGTAAATCTTAATGTAAAAACCAATCAAAAATTCCAAAAAAGTGTAGAAAAATAATTTCACTATTTCCATTATGAGACTTCATTAGTTGCGGTATAGAAAAGCAAGTTTTTCTTTTCTTTTTTTGATTTAATTTTAAAAAACGGATGCATTTTTAAATTTATTTCTTCTTAAGAGTATCTTGCAATCCAACTTTACAAGGAATATAGAAGATTTTCTTTAGAAATAAAAGAAATTTGCCTTAATTTTTTGTTGTCCTAATTTTGACACTCCTCTTATATAGTAATAGGTAAATTAAATGAGAATTTTTATTATTTCTGTTTACGTAAAAATTAATGTTATCTACATTACAACTAATTAATAGTAGTGAACAAAATTTTAAGAAATGGAACATAAATTCCTTTCCACGCCAGCTAAATGTGCCTAAATGGCAGAAAAAACCTAGAAAATATTTTCGAAAGCACATTTATTGAACATTTTTCTAACAAAATTTTGTGCTACTACAAGGTTCGTTGGCTAAAATTTAAAGATGCTATTATACTTTTCCTATGGTCCCGGGTTCGAAACTCAAATTTCGATATGAACTCGTTCATGCCAGCACTATGAAATTTTTAGATTCGAAACCCCACTTTATAGGTTGAGTCTACACTACAAAATTTGATTAAAACCATCTCAAGTTTTTCATTCCTTAAAAGTTTCAACTAAATTATTTATTACAAGAAACTCTCAATATGAATATATAATATTTATTTTAAATATATTTTTGCAGCTAGTTTGTTTTTTAAATCCATTAACAACAATAAATTGCATTCATTGCCGGAAATTTTTTTCAACTTCATTTAAAATTTCACTCCAATTGCAAATACATGCCACACCTTTCTGTTGTGTCCTATATTTTGTAAGAGATTTTAAAGATTTCATCCAATTTCCGTTTTGTTTTTTTTTTCAATGCACCCTTTAAAGACAATGTTTTCTTGCTATAATAAAGTTGTATGAAAGTGTATGATACTCAATATTAATTGACCTGAGAGCATTTTTTTTGTTAAACTTTGTTACTTCAACAAAATAGAAAATGTTGCGTTTAAAATTATTAGTACATAGTTGGATTCTATTAAGAAATTATGATCGTGCTGCTTAATGAGATAATGAGGTGATTATTGTTCTGCTTTCCTTTAATAATATCAATTTAGTGCTAACTTTTGCAACCTTCTTAAGTTTAAACGAGTTTATAATGAACTAGTTCAAAAACTCTACCTAAATTCGGATATTCATGATCATTTTAAATTTCAGTGAGATAACTGTTTCATCTATACCGTTTGGCAACACATGTACATATATAGAAAAAATTGAAATCAAATTTTCTGTTAAAACTTCGTGGGCATATAAACAAATTTTATTTTTTTTTACTTAGTCATTATCTAATAACGGATCTATTACAACAAAATAATAATTTTCCACAGACTATATCGAATTTATTAATTGAAAAAGCGAATAGCAGAAAATTTGAAGTCATTTTTCTCTACAATATTTACAAATTTGCAACGATATTGAGCAATCATATTAAGAGAGAACAAAAACAAAATCCAAATCAAAGGAAATAGAATAAACTAAATCTAACTGTTAAAATAATTCAATAAACAAAATGAAGTCTTAGAAAAATTGTTCATATTTTAAACACTGATCACAATTATTTCTTATTTATTATTTTATTTACGGTGTCGTAATTTGAATATTAAATGAAGCATAAATTTCGGAATCTAACCACACTTCAAATAAATAACAAAATTATATAATAATAAATCAAAAGAACGATATAATTAAAATTAGTATTGGAAGAGCATCTGTTATATAAATGAATACAATAATATTTCTTCACTGTATAAAAAAGCGAAAGAAGAACGAGAAAAACAGAAGTATAGTTTCATTTATTGCGGGGGAAATTGAAGTAGTGTGATTGTTTATTTTGTTAGCGAAATTATTTCAAGAGTTCTATAAAGCCAATCCTTTGTAAGATTTTACATACGGCAAAAGTATACTAATAGGATAAGTAAAATTGCTAGCAAAATTTTTAGCTGCACAAACTAGAACCTTACGATATTACGTTGACTTTACTGAATAAAAATAAAGCTAGTTCTACACTGTAGAAATTTCGTGTTTATATTATTCAGTTGCCATATAACGTACATAATGTAGACAGGTTACATGTGTATAACAGCTATTTTACAAAATTTACTTTTGTTAGCTTATAAAAAGAAATAATTAATAAAATCAACCAAGCAGCAACATACGTACATACATAAAATGTAATTAAATCAAAAGAAAATGACACTTGCAAGATTGGAGAAAAAAATAATTCAGATCAATAAAAAATGCATTGCGTGTGGGGAAATCTATTAAAATATTTTCTATTATAAAATATATAATAAAACATTTTACACCATTCCATGCTGCAATAACCATGTAATTTAAAATTAATCAGCGTGCCGCCATTGGTTATACACAAACGTTTTACAAAACACATTTTCTTTCCCTTTCATGAAATTCCGCTTTAAATTTTATTCATACGCACTATACATACATAATGTATGTATGTATGTGGACATGTGTACGCAATTAAAGTGAAACTCGCTCACATAATTCAAATTCTTCTAATATTTATTGTTAATTAAATGTCAGTAAAGTGAATAAAATTTATTAATTTTTTATTTCACTGATACGAGCTTTAAATAAATTAATTGTAATTCAAATTGAAAAATTTATTGATGTGCAAGGATACGAGTATGTCAAAAATGCGAGGAGTATAAAAAGATGAAGGCATGGAAAAGTTATGAGTGTTTGTTTGTTATATTTTAGTGATTAGGAACTATTTTATTTAAGATTTTTATAAATAATTACATATGCACATATCAAAAAGTGTAAATTTAAAATTGACAATAGAAAATAATTTTTCTTGTCTAGAAACAAGACGTATTTTTCTGTAAGGGGAAAATACTGAAAATCTGGGTAAATAAATAATAAGTTAATAATAATAGATAATAAAATTACCTGTTAACTAATATCAAAAAATTAAGGCAGATAGGTATTCATAATTTTGTTATAACGCAATTTGTTTGACAACAATGGATAAGAAAAAAACTTACATATGTACTTCCAAACACTCTTGACAAAAAATTTAATTATGTTATTGAAAATTTTTTCTTTTATTTTTTGATTATAACTTCAATACTTCGTCGATTTTTCGTTGAAACTCAATAAATTTTTCAAAATCAGTGTTATAAATTATTCAATTCTCAATCTCTTGTTCTCTTAAATTTTAAAAAATTATGTTGAATCTGAAAAATTAAATATTTTAAAAAATTTAATAGGTTTTCTCTTGATTTTTTCAACTTTTTTTTCTCTCTTCTTTCATTCATTTTAATGATAAAATTTAAATCGTATGCAAATGTAAATTTCATACCAAAAGAAATGGTAAAGTAAAGGGTAAACAATGACTCTTAAAAAGTATGAACGGAACTTCAAAATAAAAACTAATACTTTTAAAATTAAATAAAATTCTCTTTATTTTAACATTGGAGAGAGATACGAATTAAATTGTTTTTGGAAAAAATAATATTATATTTGCTCTGATTATTATTAAGCAGTAAATCTTTATTGTTATAAACTATAATTAATAATAAATAATATTTGATAAAACGAAAGTGATTTGAGAAAATCGAATTAAAAAATTACAATTATTAAAATAAAATAATTCAAATATTGTTTACTCGAATCCTGAGTCCACTCCTGGTCAATTTAATGTAATTTGTATCAAAGCTCTTAATCCATTCTTT